ACACCTACTGCAAAACCATAGTCTAGGAGGAAGGATCCAGGGACTAAATCTCCTGACCCTTCTTCCATTCTGCCTTCCCACCTACTGCTAGTATTTCCCAATGTCTAAATCCAGTAGAAGTCAGAGTGCAAGGGAACTTGTTGATTGAGTCCTTAAAAGTCAGTATCCTGGTGCTTAGAGTGGTGTGTGGAAGGGTAGAGCCTGAGTCTGAATGGATAAATAGACTTTTTCCAGTTTAATAATGGACGTTATAGATAATCTATCTTAGCAGCATTGGGTTTAGATGGAGTCCTAGGGCATGACTGTGTCAATAGCTGAGCAAATAAAGCTTTGCATTGGGCTTTTAGCGCCTTAATCAATTAGGAAATCTATAGTAAGCAGACAGACTGACTGCAGCTAATTCTTGGATCTTATTTTAGGCATTGGTGAAATATGTTATGAGCACTGAATCACATCTACTAAAAGGCAGTAATTTCCCATTATGATGAGATATTTCCATTTTAGGTAGAATGAAATTATGTACTTGCTTATTGGAAAAAGAGTCAGGGAAGAAATCACCGCAGCAGTGTTATCTTGGAGAGAATGTCAGCCTGGAGTTTGCCAGAGAAAATGGAAGACGTGAACACTCCCCAGGAAACAAAGTGCTTTTACACTGAGCACTACCAGAGAAGGTCACTTCGTAGACCAAATTAAGATGTATAATTTAGTGTGTGGTGCCTGCAGAGCTGCTTCATTTTAGTCGAAGTAGAATGAGGCAATGGTGCTTGAAATAGTCCTGTGAACTCAGCATGGAATTGTAGTGCTGGTGTTTTTAACCTCACTCCATATTGCTTTCTCTGTTATTTTGCCTCTTTTCTCCTAAGACTTACAGTTCTTTTCCGTCTGGTTTCTCAGATGGAAAATATGTGTGATGATTCAGCACTGCACCCTGACTTGCTAATAGATTGTCACAGAAAAGTGTTTGCCCTGCTCTGAAGGCTTCTTTTGATGTGGTGCACACTAGAGTGCTGAGATTGAAGTTCATTTGCTCAGGGCATATGTTTTCCTTCTTCAAAGAGGAGGAGTTTTGTAGTTTTTTGGCCATGTAGAAGGTGTCACCAGATAATGTTTTGAGTTAGTGGGTTGGAAACTTAGAGATTAAATTTGTCATTTCACAAAGGATATGAAATTTGAAAGAAGAAAGTTTATGAGGTACATTTATCCAGATACAGACACTAGCAGAGATGCTAGACTGATGGCTGAATCCTAATAGTCTATTCTTGGGTTGAGAGAGCTATTTGGGAAGAACCATGCATAGTTATTCTCTGCTCCAGAAGCAGCTCTGTCAATATTCATTGATGATAGTGGAGGGTGTGTACAACAATTTTGATAAAAATAATTCCAAACTATGGAAGAGAATAGGGAAGTAAGAGTGTTTGAAAAATGTTTGTTTGTGTTTCTTTACAGTAATATATCTTAAATTTCTTGGACTTTCAATGTTCAAAATTGTAGGAACGCAAATTCTAAAACTCATCCTAGGACCAGAAAACATGAAATAATCTTTTTTTCCCAAAAGTTTTCTCTAAGATGTCCTGTGGTTGTCAAATTGAGGCAAGTTGGGTTGTCTTTGTGCCACTGATCTATCAATACCTGTGCTCTTGTGCATTCAGAGGAGAAGCTAGTTCTTTTCAAATGACTCCACCTTATAATTAAAACACTTCACTCCTTAATCCCTACCTTTCTTTGCAGATAATGTCTTTCGCTTGAAATTTTTGTTAAATGATAAGGCCTAGAGAGAGAGGTACTAGGAGTGTCTTTCTTACTTGCTTGTATGATCAGTGGAAACTCAGAAATTGTGAATACATGGCATGAATAAGTCCATTTGTATCTGGATTTGGACCCCCAGAATCTGATAGAAGAGTGTTTTATCTTGGAAGCAAAGTATAACTCTGCAACCTTTTTTGTTTTTTAAATTTTGAAAATTTCAAGGATGGGACACTTTTCTTTTACAGTTGATAGGGACTTATGGCCCTTATGACATGGCCAATGTTGACACCTAAAACCTAAAAGTCACTCCTTTCGTCTCTACACCCTATGGTTTGATCCCTAGTTGAAATGGTCTTTATCACGGTACTACACCATGGTTGTGACTTTCACTATTTTTACACACTATTCCTCTGCAAAAGAAAATGTAGCAATAGAAGGGAAATGTAACAGGTCTTTAAGAAGGGATGGTGGATGAGGTTGAAGAAAAGAATTGAAGGGTACAACTGGGTATGTGACTCCTGTTATTGTCAGAAAAGGGAGGAAGAAAGGCTTGCTTGTATTGTGGAAGCTCTATAGTTTAATCTAACACTAGCTTCTGAGGCATGGGTTCTGGTATCAGTTTGGCTATACTTATTGAAAGATTTGACAGGTAGGGTTTACACACTTATAATAAAAGCATAATAAGATGTTAGATTATTTAACTTTAATTTCTTTAGCTACAAAATATAGGGAATTATCTTACTGCTCATTGCTTTCTCAGCCTCTTTCGAAGTCTCTTTTCCCTCCATTCATCCCTTAAATATCTCTGTTCCCAGTACTATGTTCTGCAAGCTTTGCTTTTCTCAGTCTGTGTACTTTTCTTGAGTAGCTTCATCCAAGCCAATGACTTTTAATTCCATGTCTTATGCATCCTGACAATCTTCATCTTTTAACGGTATGTTTAGACCATTTACGTTTAACATAATTATTAACATGTTTAGATTTAGCTTTACCATTTTATTTATTTCTGTTTGTTGCCTTTGGTTTTTGTTCCTCTCTTTCATTTACCCTTTTTTGTTTTCTTTTGAGTTATTCGAACATTTTTTATTATTCCATTTTAATATATCAATGTATTTTTGAGTGTATCTCTTTGTATATATTTTTTAGTAGTTGTTGTAGGGATTACAATATGCATGCCTAACTCTTCACAGTGTAGTTAGAATTAAATTACTATTATACTTTACCACCATATAGGTCCCTTTGTCACCCCTTTTTATATCGTAGTTGTCTTGTGTTTTATATGTACATATTGCAACCCCACCAAACAATATTATGTTTTTTGCTTTCAACTCTCAAACGTCTTTTAAGGAACTCATGAGAGGAATAATATTATATTTATATAGATATTTACCATTTGCGTTGCTCTTCCTTTTTTTATTGCTGACGAAGATTCGCCCTGAGCTAACATCTGTGCTAGTCTTTGTCTATTTTGTATGTGGGTCACCGCCACAGCATGGCCACTGATGAGTGGTGTAGGTCCGTGCCTGGGAACCAAACCTGGGCCGGCGACGTGGCGTGCACCAAACTTAACCACTACGCCACGGGGCCAGCCCCTCTTTATTTTTTAAAAAAATTATTTTATTGAGGTTATATTGGTTTATAACATTGTGTAAATTTCAGGTGTACATTATTATATTTCAGTTTCTGTATAGGTTACATTGTGTTCTCCACCAATAGTCTAGTTTTTATTCATCACCATATATATATGTCCCTTTACTCCTTTCACCCTCCCCTCACCCCCTTTTTCCTTCATTTTCTATGTTTTAAGTTTCTTTCTGGCATCAGTTTCATTCTCTCTGAAGAACTTCCTTTAGCGATTCTTGTAGAACAGGTCTGCTGGCTATAAATTCTCCTAAATTTTCCTTCATCTGAGAATGTCTCTATTTCACCTTTATTTTTGAAGAATATTTTCACTGAATATAAAATCCTGGATTAACAAGTCTTTCCTTTCAGCACTTTGAAAATGTTGTTCCACTTCCCTCTCTGTGAGTGCTCTGAGTCCTCCTGGCACTTCTGGGTTGACCAGATGTCTACAATTTTTTTTTTAACCTTCATTTTATCACTCTTAATTTCATCTGTCTTCTTCAAGAAGTTTCTATTACAAAACCCCTCTTCTTTTACCTTCCTGCACTCAAAATGTACTTTTGTGTAGCTTTTTACTATTTAGAACCATTTAGAAAAGAGCTGAGTAAAATAATTTACTAAAGATATCAGTGGTCAATAAATGGTCATTGTGTTACCCTTCCCAGGAGAATTTCTTTTAAGCGTGGAAGTCTTGAAGACTAGGCAATGCCTTAATTTAAGAAATGAAGTGTTTTAATATAGAATTCTAAGGTCCATGCTTGTGTGGGGGTACGTTAACCACAGAGACATTTCTGGGATCCCTCAAATCACACGAGGGAGCAGCCACCTTCACTGCTTATGTGACATTTCAGCCACTTTGATGGTGAAGACATTGAAAATCCATGCAGGGCCAGCAGTGGCTTACAGATTTTTGCTTTTTCTCTGACATTCCATTTGGCTTCAAATAGGCAAGAAGTAGAAAAAACAGAAACAAAAAAAAAACTTGATTAAGACTCCTGAGTTATTTATTTAAATTTTAAACTTAAAATTTTTCACTTGTACCACTTTTGGCAAAATATATGAATTATGTTCAGAAAAGACTCCAAATTTTTGGCTAATACTTTTCCCTCACACTGCTTTAATTTAAATAGATAATGAATCTCAAATCTTAGAAGGTGCTTTTCGGAGAGTAAAAAGGCTTGACTTATTCTTGCAAAGTAATATTCCAAACATGAGTTATTAAAGTGGCTATATTTGCTAAGGATCTCCAAGTCCCCTTTCCTCAGGATTTCTGGGAGGTATGTTAGCTCTGTTTTAAACAAGAACCTGAACTGAACCCTTTAGAAGTTGAGAGACCTGCTCTAGGGTATACAGTGAGTTCCCATGTGGGGAAAAGGGATTTTTGTCTTGGGGCTAAAATTAGAGCACTCTCCCATCTCTCAACTGTAGAAAAGCTCTGTTGGTCAAGGGCCGGGTGGGAGTGGGGAAGAGGTTGCAATCAGCCTCCTGGCTGATGCCTTGAGTTGGTTGGGGTCAGCCGAGAGGAAGGGTAAGTCATGGTTATGCTTTGATTTTTGTCGGTGGGTGATTTTTACACTCTGTTAGACAAGCTGCTTTCTTCCCCTGTTCCTCTAACAGGCGGTCTCATTGCTGGAGATGACTGTCAGCTGCTTTCCCTGCATAGCCACCATCACATGCCCCAGCACCGGAGCCTGGGAAGCCTGACCACAGACCAGCATCTCCGAGGCATGAATAATTAGTTAGGCATAATGGAAGGCACTCACTGCACCCTCCAATTGCATAAGCCCATTACCGAACTCTGCTACATCAGCTTCTATCTTCCAAGAGGGGAAGTCAGAGGATTTTCATACAAGGGCACCGTAACTCTAGATAGATCCAATAAAGAGTTTCATAACTGCTACCAAGTCAGGGAGGGGTCAGACATCACCAGCCTCAGTCTGCAGCCGAATGAACATCCAGGCGACATATTTTTCAAGCAAACTCCCACGAAAGACATTCTAACTGAACTGTACAAACTCATAGCAGAGAGGGAGAGACTGCTGGCCGACCTGCTGAGCTCAGACCACATCCTGGGCATTACGATGGGGAACCAGGAGGGGAAGCTGCCAGAGCTGTCCATGAGCCTGGCCCCCGAGGACGACAGTTTCCAGAGTGCTGACGACTGGCAGGGGGAGCCCCTCGTGGGCTGTCTCAATAAGAGGAGCACCCACGGGAACAGAAAGCCTCGGAGGTTTGGTGGAAGGAGAGAGAGCTTTGAGACGCAGCCGCACAAGAGGACAAGAAGAAAAGGGCGTGGGCGTCGGGAATCGGCTCTGCAGATGGGAAAGGACCAGATCTGTTCCAGCAGCTCCCTTCCTCTTTCTCGAGGGAGGCCTAATCTTTGGCTCCTAGAGGAGAGAGGCAACTTGCTCCCAGATGGGGCACTTACCTCTTCCCTGCAGAGGCGAGAGAGCTACCCCCTGGAGACCCCCAGGACACTGGCCCCTGACCCTGGCTTTGGGAGCTTGGGGCCGGCTTTTGAGGATGCCAAGTTTGGAAGAGGAGGCCGGGGCCCTGACTGCAGCTCCACAGAGCCAGGAGATGGGGGTACCTGGGGGCCGCAGAGGGGGCCTCACAGGCTGGCGCATCAGCAAACAGGTTTGTCTGCAAGTCACGAGGACCCTGAGAAGCATCCAGAGGCAGAGAGGGGCCAGAGGGAGAAGTCTGCTGAGCAGACTTGCACAAAGAAACCTGTTTGCAAAGTGGTGGCCAAAGTCCAGGATCTGTCCACTCAGGTGCAAAGAGTGGTTAAAACTCGTCCTGAGGCTGAGGGAAGGATTGACGTTTGCCCGGCGGCCCAAGGGGAGTTTATACCCAAAGCGGACTTGCTCATCATCTCGGGAGCCAAGGCGGGGCCCCGTGGTTCCAGGCAGCGGGGCAAGGAGCAGCGAGGGGATGGGTCATTGCAGTCATCAGCCAGGGAATGTGTGCCAGCCAGCACGGAGGGGGCTGTGAACAAGGTCCTCCTGAAAGTGATAGAGAGTGAGAAGTTAGATGAAGCCACTGAAGGGAAAAGGCTGGGTTTTCCCCTCAGCACGACAGCCACCCACACCCTGCCAGAGGCTAGACTCAAGAGGAGAGCTGGGCTGCCTCTGAGTGGCCACAAAACCTTGTTTCTGGATCTGCCCCACGGTGTAGGGCCACACGCCTCACAACCAAGAGGTGATGAGAAGAGGTCGTCCCCCCCAGCACTGGCAGCTCTCAGCATGGTATTTAATAATTCATCCTCTCAGTCCGGCACACACAAACGGCTGTCACCTGTTCCCTCACCTCTATCTCCAAGGCTCCCTGGCCCTCAGCAGCATCACAGGATCCTCCGGCTCCCTCCACTGCCTGGCGAGAGGGAAGCCCCTCTTGATGACTCTCCCGGTGGAAAGAGTGGTGCCTTCTCTGGGTCCCTCTCTGCTGACTCCTTGGAGCCACCATCATCTGCGAAGGTCACGGAGACCAAAGGAGCCCGCTCGGCCTCCCTCAGAGCAGACCAACCTCGGTTGGTGCCTGGGGAACGTTTGGAAAAGAGCTTGGGGCCTGGGAAGACCACAGCTCAGCCCCAGCACCAGTCACCTCCAGGTTAGTCTTGTTTAAGATACTTTAAATCGGTTCTTGGGCTATTCACAAACTCTCAATCTGCTTGTGCTTCGCAGAAACTGGCTAATTAAAAATGAACCAAAATTTCTGGTCCTGTTAGTCAATTCATCTTGTAGCAAGAAAACTGGGAGTGGTATAGGGGAGTGTGGAGATGGTGAGGGTGGTGTTGACTTACGGGGTCAGAGGTGTTGCTTCCAGAAGGAATACTTTGTAAATATCTTTTTTTATTTTTATTTTTCACATACTCTAAAGCTGCCTCTATGGTTGCTTAACATAGGACTCTCAAAGGAAACAGGAACAGCAGAGAGAAGTAGCAACTTGTTGCTGCCTTTGATGCTAACACTGGGTAATTGGCCCCTTGATCCAAATTCTGCTGTTCATGCTGCTTGAGTAGCTTGGATTTGCTGGAATTCTCTAAGCAGAAGAGCAAAAGCATGCTGTGTCTTTGCTCATCTCTCTGTTATTAGAGGTTTTTGCTTTTTAGTAAACACCTTTATAAGCATCACTATTTCATGACAAAAACTTTTTTTTTTTACTAGAAGAGAGATGAATACAGTCTAAATTGAAGAAACTTGGTTCAGATTTTCTTTTTTTTAAACTCGGTTTTTTTATTTCCCAAACAAGCACTAAGTAATGTTTATTCTGAAGTTATGTTTTATTTATGGCTTTCTACTGTTACTAGTATAACATCATGTCTTCTGCCAAAGGTGCTAAAGAGCTAATCTGGCTTTAATGTGATTTAAAATTTTACATGAAAATAATTTTGGGGGTTCTGTAAGTGAGCTCAATAAGACCATAAAAGACAGTGTATAAGAAGTGACACTCCTGTGTTCATTACATTTTCCAGGCCATGTGGCCAGATGCTCAGGGTTTTGTGTGCCGTTGTGTAGGTAATAGGTTCTTTTTCAGCTAATAGGTCCTTTCACAGCATATGGTCAATGCTTTGTCTAGGGACCGGCTCGTAATATGATATATGGTCTCTTAAAGGTTAGAGAATACATCATGCGCAATTTTTGAGATAAAAATATCTATCTAGGAAAGAGGAATTTCAAACATTTTCTATTCATTTTAAACTCTTGACATTTTATAAATTTCTCTAAATCATTGATCCAGGTGGTAGATTAAAAATGTAGTAAATGCTTTTCATCTTGTTTTTGCAATATATTGGTTTTAGTTTGATAAGACTTGCTACTTTCGTAATATAACCAACCTGCTTCACCAAGAAAGTCATACAATTATAGATTTTATATCATGTATCATCGAACCCTAGTGATGAAAATTCTTTCTCCCTACGGATGCTGGGTACTTTGAAATACTTGGAAAGGTAGTCCTCTGCAATTAGTAGGTCAGAAACTTTTGGAGGCATGGGCGTGGACCAGCTGCCTCACTTCCCAAGGTTCTTTTTATTTTTATTTTTTTATTATTTTTTTTGTGTGTGTGAGGAAGATCAGCCCTGAGCTAACATCCATGCTAATCCTCCTCTTTTTGCTGAGGAAGACCGGCTCTGAGCTAACATCTATCACCAATCCTCCTTTTTTTTTTCCCCCAAAGCCCCAGTAGATAGTTGTATGTCATGGTTGCACATCCTTCTAGTTGCTGTATGTGGGATGCAGCCTCAGCATGGCTGGACAAACGGTGCGTTGGTGCGCGCCCGGGATCCGAACCCAGGCCGCCAGTAGCAGAGCGCGCACACTTAGCCGCTAAGCCACGGGGCCGGCCCCCAAGGTTCTTTTTAGAAATCACACCAAATTCTAGGATTGTGTGTGCCTCTCATCCAGAAACTGTGCATTTAATACATTGAGCTTCAGTAAATCTTTTTTTCCCTGATTTAGAATTATCTTTTTATTTTGTTGTCCTTTTTCTATATAAAAGAATATTATAAAAGCTCTATTGTATCTGGGTCAAGACAGGCACACAGAGGACATTCAGTTTCTATGGTGACTGACCTTGAGCCCCCTGAGGGGCAAGTTCAATGGATGATCACACTTTCCCTTGGCCTCTCCATACAGTTGTTCAGAACCCTTCCCTTTACTTTGGCCCCAGCCTTCCATTGGGATCTTCATAGCGCTTTCAGGAGCCGGTCATTAAAATCACAGGGATTCCTTGGCAGGGAGACTGTCTGGGCTTCTAACCGTATAAAAGGAGTTGGAAAGTCGGGGAATAGGAGTGGGAGAGATCTTTTTTCTAGCATGGATAACTTCCCTTTTGCTGGGACCTTCCCTCAGGACATCCAAACATCATCTGTTATCATCCTGCACTTTTTTGAAAAGCATGAAGGGAGGGAGTTCTCGAGATAGTGTCTTTGATCTGTATCCTGTGTCCTTGTCCCCTTTCCTCCCTTTAATTCCCCTTTTCCGTAGCCATGGGTCCTCTTCCTATTCTGAACCCTTCAGTGGCTTCCTGCAGCTGGTGGGTCCACACGGGGAGAATTTTCCTGCTTCCAGCTGCCTTTGTCTTTCACTTCGTTCTCCCCCCAGCCCCTCCCAGCAGAGGCCTCAGACAGCCCCCAGCAGCCCAGACGAGGGGTGGGTAATTCATTTAACATCACCGCACAGTGGCCCTTTATCTAAATCCACCCCCACCTTTCTCCCATGTTAGCTATTAACCAGGTTGAATTTATGGTCTGTGGACATTTATTTCCTATGGAAATAACATCTAGGTAATTTATTGAAGTGATGTGATTAAGATTATCGAAAGCTCTCATTAACTGTTCGAGTAAGAGATTAAGTCTGGCAAAAGTAATCAGATGCATTTCCAGTTGGAAGACTTTAGTGCTTATGGGCAAAGTAGCAATTCCCAGGAAAAAGTGAAATCCGCTCTTTCTTCTCACAGGACCAAGCAGTTAAAGCCAGCATTACCATCCATGCAGGAAATAGCATAAAGGCATCACAGAAGCTACTGGTCCACCTCCTATTGGCTGTGTCATTTTCCTAACTCTTCATCCCAAGGGCTACACACAGGAATTTCTTGTTTAGTGGTGATATGATCAAATAGAGAATATACTAACAATGAATGGTGGCCAGATTTGTCTTCTCATGGTCCCCCCCTTCTCCCCCACCCCACCTTGGAATTGGTTTTACTGTATTTTATTTTGGGATGGAAACTGCTGTAGAATGTTCCCAAGCCTTTGTGGAACGTAGCATTTTCTCAAACCTTGGGGGACTCTAGTTGTGCTAACCTGCATAGCAGTGTCCTTGGGGCTGGGATTCTTTCCTGTTTTGGTGGCTTTCACTTACCTCTCATCTGAAATAGACCCTTTTAATGCCGGAAGGATCACATGGAACTTGGCTCACCACGCTCAGGAAAATAACCAGTGCTTCACTGTGCTCTTCAGCAATCTCGTGATCTTTTTCCTTTGATTGAAGTCATCGAGGTGGTGATGGAAGCATATGCCCCAGGCATAGTTGTTCTTGATATTGTAAGTCATTTGATCAGTGCTTGTGCCCATCAAAAGATGTAATGTCAACTTATTAAGAGTTGAGAGACATATTTGTAATAGATTTTGTTGTATCTAATGGTACTGTTAAAGCTTTGATTTCTCTCTGGGCATATATTATTGGGAGTAGATATAAATTGTTTCCGTATTAATATTGAGGTTTGATGCAATTCATAGCATTAATGGACATATATAACTATTTAAGATGACTACAGAAAGTATGTAGTACATGGAAAATTATCTGTAATTAATGTTAAGAGAGAGAATAAGGTTCAAAAATTGCATATACCATATTATACCCATATAAAATAAATATGGGGCTTAAATTGATAGGAAATACATTGCTTACTTTTGAGAAAGTAAGAGGGTTGTAATTGAAACTATATGTAACTTTGACCTAGCAACCCTACTAAATTTAGGAATTTAGCTTACGTAAATAGTTGCACCAGCAGAATACACACATAAGGGTGTTTACTGCAGCATTGTTTGTAGTGGCAAACAGCTGGAAAAAATTTGAATGTCCATCACTAGAGAAATGGCTAAATAAATTATAATATATTTATTCTCTGTAATATTATGAGGCTGTTCAAAGTGTTGAACTAGATCTGTATCTAGCAAGCTGCAAGATAATATACAGCATGCTCTCAGTTTTTATAAAGACAACAAGTATCACCTTTCTCCATATATGAGGATATATGTTTGATGTGGGTTTGAATATCATGGAGACAAATGTAGAAGACAACCGGCCAGGTTGTTCACATTCTTTATCTAGGGGCAAGGCAGAGTGAAGGTGGGGAATGAGGTGAAGGGGAAGCATCCAGAGCACTGGGGAAAGGTATTAACTTCTTTTCTTTACATATTTACATTGTTTCATGGTTGTGGTAAATGTGTCACTTTTATGGTTTTTAAAGAGTGGTTTAACTATGTTTTAAAGAAAAAGACAAATACGACACCTAGAGTGGTTGTGTGTGTGTGTGGGGGGGGTGGTGGTAAGATTATACCTAACCACACTTTTCTATATTTCCCCCACGTCCTTTAATTAGGCAAGAAGCTCAGTATTAAGACTAATAGTGTTGTTACGAAGGGAATAATACAGGTTGCTAGAGAGCTGTAAAAGCAACATCTGAGAAGGACTAGTCAGGGAGGCAGGATTGGATGAGGACAGAGTATAATCCAGAAACCAAGAGAAGAGGGCAGTTCAGAAAGGCTTCTGGATGAGACAGGGTCCTGACAGGGAACAGACACCCCCGGGCCTGAAGGAGCAAGGGAAGCGGTGGTCACTGGAACCCAGACAGGGGAGCTTCATGGAGAGGACCACACAGCAGGAACAGTGGCCTGTGGTAGAGACACCTCACAGAGAGGAGACTGCGAGAATAAGTATCCTGGCCTCACGCTGCCTTCATCTTCTGCCTGGAGCCTCCTCTAACTGAACCATCCAAAAGATAGAGAGTGAGGGAGCCGGTGGAGGTCTACAAGGTCAGCCTTCCAGGGCCAAGAGCAGGGTGGAGAAGGGTCACAGTGGACCTGGAGGGGCAAATGGGAGACC